GAACAAAAATAGCCGCAAAAGTTACAGGAAAAGCTGCAAAGGAAATGGCTAAAAAAGCGGCAACAAAAGCGTTTGAAAAGGAGGCAGAGCAAATCGGTGAAAAGACGGGACAATTGATCGGTGAAAAGATTTATGATAAGTTTTCAAATCGAGGGGGTGATCCCTCAAAACACGAAGCTCCGCACAGCACAGCAAGCAAGGGGGAGCTCGAGGGGCTGCACTTTGTGCGGGTGGCCTCTCGAAATATTGGAGAACAGCTTGCAAAAGAATTACGGAAAGAATTGGGGAAAGATACTCGAGGAGTAAAGTCATCCTCACAAGGACCGCAAGGATCGAAAAATAAAAAAGTTAAAAAAGATAATCTCTTTGACGATTTTGATGAACTTTTTTTGTAAACTTTTTTTTGTAAAAAAATTATCTTATCTTTTAAGAAAAATAATACAATGTCTTCTATGCGAACAAAAAAATTTGCAAAGGGATATGAATATTCTTCATATGATCTCGATACACCTCTCCAAACTGCTCCGGCAAATAACAATTATCAACAGAAGAAGGGGTATAAATTTACCGTTGACACAAAAACAGCGCCAGAGGCCGTGGCCGATTGGTACAATGCATATTTTGAAATGGATTTCAAAATCACCAAGATGGACAACACCACCTATGGTGCAGCTGATGCAGCCGCAATAATCAATGGTGGTTTTAGTATGATAAAAGACATCAAAGTTGATTTTGAGAAGGTGAGAGTTCTTGATTTGCCAAGTGCAAATCATGCTGCGAATATGAAGAATCTCACTGAATTTTCAAAAGAACATTCGGATCAAGTGGGGCCTCCCCAATTTCACTATCTCGACACTGCCAGCGGGGCAATTATACAAAAGTATACAACACTTGCCATTCCAATCGCTGCTGGTCAAGATGTGAACAGAACACCAACAGACAATGCGGATTACAATGAAGGGTTTACAAAAAGAAAGACTCTTCTCGCCGCAGGTGCTGAAAACAACATTCATTTGCCGCTAAACCGTTTCAGTTTCTTTGAGTCTTTGGAAGAGCAGATACCTCCCAATGCAAAGGTTACTTTCGATGTAACTCTTGAAGAGGATAATGAGGTGCTGTTCAGATCAAATGCGGCTGCGGCAGGCAGATACATCGTAACAAAATTCCGATTGTGGGTTCCGATGATCAACCTGAATGACGCAGGCCAAAAGTTCTATTATGATAGTTTTCTCAAACCTCACACATGGGGTTATCAGAGGGAGCAAATCAGTGTTTCAGGTCCGCTTAGACAAAAAAATGGTAAATTCAACATCACAAGTGCTGTTGATAGACCAAGGCACGTCTTCGTTTGGGTTCTGAATGCATCCAAGTTTGACGATCAGGAACAAAACATGTTCGTTTTCAACACATACAACATTGCTAACGCGAGGTACTTTACAAAAGCACAACTTCGCGTTGAAAACGGAACAAGGTATCCAGATCAGAAACTGGATCCTAGCAGTGAGCTGGCTAGAGCATGGAAATATTTTGCGAATTATTCAAAGCTCGCAAGTAACAACTTGTTCGGTCCAGCGATCACTATGAAACAGTTTCAAGATCTCTATGGAATACTGTACTTTGATCTGACAAAGCAGCCGCCAGAGATCATGAAAGCGGCAACACGTCTTGATTTCGAGTATAGCCTCAACAACACTACCAACGCAGATTATCACATCTATGCGTTGATTCTCAATGATGAGGAAATTAGTGTTGATGTAATGAGTGGAAAAGCACTCATCAGAAAGTAAGTTTACTTTTACAAGGTTTACTTTTTTTTAAAAAATTTTTATTATGTGGTGTACATAATAAAAAAGATGACGACTTACATTACATATAGAGTATCACTGAGTGATAATCAGAAAAGAAAACTTGCAAAAGCTTTCAACGAAAAATCTGCAATAACTATACGTCTCTCACACAAAGAACTAACTGGTTCTGATGAGATGATGTTGACGCAGACACAGATCAAAAAGATCAAAAAAGCAATAAATGCAGGAAAGGGAGTTGATTTGAAAATCAGCAAGACGCAGATGACAAAGGTTGCTCAAAAAGGTGGTAGCCTATTTTCTTCACTTCTTGCTCTTGGTACAAAACTTCTTCCAAAAGCAATGAATCTGGCCACAAAGGCTCTTCCAGGATTGGCTACAGGTGCGCTCTCAAGTCTGGGCAATTTCGCCACAGATAAAATTCTCGGAGCCGGTCAACAGTCGGGTGGTCTTATAATTCCAAATTCAAATATTATGAAACTTTTACCGTATGTTGACGCTCTTTCAAAAAAGCAACAACAAGACCTTTCAAATGCACTTCACTCTGGTGGTGACATGAAAATGAAGCCGACAAAAAGTCAGAGTGGAGGTTTTCTCGGAACTCTTCTCGCTTCAATAGGGGTACCGATACTTCTGAAGGCGTTGACCGGAAGCGGAAACTCGAGAGGAAAAGGTTTACACGGAAGTGGTTTACACGTTCGCGCACCAAAAAAGAGTGGTAAAGGTTTGCAAAACAGACCGTATTGGGATGAACAACCAATTTTCTTCCCACCGGGATTGGGTGAACCTGTACCGACAATTGGAAGAGGTGGGAAAAAAAAGCAGAAAGGGCAAAAAGGACAAGGTCTGTTGCTGGGCAAAGACTCTCCCTTCAACGGAATACCGCTACTGGGGGCACTGTTGTAAATCCAGGGAGAGCTCGAGGGGGTTTACCCTCTCGAAGACCACCCTTAAAAAATGTTCCGATCACAAACCTCGACATTCAAGATTGGGTCGATTATCTCAAGATTCCAAACTTTGGAGGGGTAATATCCAGGGATCAAATAAAAGATTGCAAGACGGGGCACTCTTTCGTTATCAATCTGAACGAATCGCATGAGTCTGGTTCACACTGGGTGGCGATGGTTTTTGGTTCTGATCTCATTTTGTACTTTGACAGTTTCGGTCTTGATCCACCGCAAGAGGCGTTGACGCTTTGCAAAAAACATCGAGTTAACTATGCATTCAACAACATACATTATCAAGCATTGACAAGCGTCTTGTGTGGTTATTATTGTATCTTCTTCTTGAATGAAATCAGTAAAAGAATAAAACCTTCTCTTGCTAATCAAAGTTTGTACTCTATTTTCAACGATGTTGTACGACCTTTGTCACACAGTAACGCAGTTTCAAACGAGCATTTTATTAAAAAATATTTTCTGAATATATAATAAACAAACAAAAATATGGGATATTCTGACGGTTATCATGAAATCGATCACAGACAAGAAGGCGCAAGCAAAGAAGGACCTGAAGGACCACCGGGTCCAAAAGGAGAAAAAGGTGATACAGGGTCACAGGGTCCTCGTGGACCACAAGGACCAAAAGGAGAAAAGGGAGATACAGGACCGCAAGGTTTGCAAGGAACAAAGGGAGATAAAGGTGATAAAGGTGATAAAGGTGATACCGGTCAAAAGGGTGATACAGGCCCTGCCGGTCAAAAGGGTGATACAGGGTCGCAAGGGCCAAAGGGTGATACAGGGTCGCAAGGTTCGCAAGGGCCAAGAGGACCTGCTGGATCAAAGGGGGATAAAGGTGATAAAGGTGATAAAGGTGATACAGGCCCTGCCGGTCAAAAGGGTGATACAGGCTCACAAGGTCCACAAGGGCCAAGAGGACCTGCTGGATCAGGTAGTAACATCGATCTTTCAGATTTGAAGAAAGCGATAACTTTTACAAGCACACATGGAGCAGACCGACAGGTCACGGGTCTAAGCGATCAACCGCTCAACGGTACTGCTGCCGTAAATGAGAATAAACTCAACACCGAATTAGCGAAAAAAGCCGATTCATCAACTGTGTTGAACGGGCTGAGCGGTAAAGCTGATGCGGCATCTGTTTTGCTATTGGATGGGAGTCAAAAGATGACAGCCAATCTCGATATGAACGGTAACGATGTGATCAATTCAAAAAGAGAAAACTATCTGGGTATGACTACTGCTCAACAAGCTGCTTATGAAAATTCAAACACACTCGTTTCTCGATATGAAGCGGGGTCAATAAAGAGACATCTAAAAGGTCTACTCGATATTACCACTCTCTCGAATGCAAATCAACAATACGTTGACAATGTGAAAAAGACAGTACCGAGCTTTCGCAACCTCAACGACAAACAAATCTTAGACGCTAGAAAGAGAAAGATAGTCAATCTTCCAGACACCTTCTCAGATAATGATGAAGCTGTGAGTAAAAAGTATGTAGATCGTTGTTCTACAAATATTACGAATTTAGCCAACACAAAAGTAAATAAATCGGGCGACACAATGACTGGAAACCTTGCAATGGGTGCCAACAAAGTCACTTCTAGTCATACAGCCGCAGCTGACGATGAACTGGTCAACAAAAAGTTTGTCGATGATCGATTGGCTCACAACTTAACTCCAGCTCAGCTGACTAACGACCTCGCATACATTATGAACAAAAACGGTCAGTTCTCTGATGAAGACGATATAACAGGAAAACCGATTACTGACCAGGTTGTTCTGTACCCCACGAATCCCAGAACAAAACCGTTTGATTTAAGTCTCGACACTTCCAAGGGTTATTATTCATCACGTTTTGGTGTAAATATGTATTCAGCGGGTAGAGCAGAATACACTGTCGTCTGTGAGTTGTGTTGGCAATCGAGTAAAGTCGATCCAAGCAGTGTAACATTGACAGCAACCAGCAGTGTTGAAACAATTTCAGCTCAGCGCAGCAATCGATTTGAAAATCACATCGTCGCCTTGATTCACGTGACGAAATGGAGTAACGCAACACCTAATTATTTGATGTTTGACGTAGTGATCAAAAACAAATCTGGTCAGTCATATGATCAGAAACTTCCCATCTGGGTGATCATTTACGGGAGTAAAGGTTATCACAACAGCCTGCCAAAATCTATTTGGACAAGTTGGTACAGCTTTGTGAGTGGTGGGGTTCAAATAAATTCTGCGCTTACTCTCGCAAAGCAGTGATCCGCCCTGTCCTCATTCGAAACCAAAGCCTGGAACTTGCCTGTTCACGGGTCTTTTCTTCCACCAGTTCCTGCTGCTTTTTGGTCACCTGAAGTAGTTCAAATGCTTCTTCTGATTTTTTTAGTAGAGTAGGGTAGTCTGCATCAGCAAGGCTGTTGTCAAACAAACTAGACAACACAACTGGAAGTTCAGGATTCACAGATTTAGGTACATAAAAATCTGAATGAGCAGGGATGAGAGACAATAAGGCAGGTTTAGAAGGGCAGTCCTTGATGCAATTGAGGAAGTTAGTCAGTTCAGTCTCTGAGGGAGGTGTAACATTAGAAGGCTTAACTGTCGAAGTTGAACGTGGGGTCTTTGAAAAGTTTATGTCTTTGACCCTTGCATATGGAACAGTCTTAACTGATGTTGGTAGAACCCAGTATGCCTTTTTGTCGGTCACTGTCAGCGAATCCCTTCGTTTACATCCCGCTTCAATGGCCCATAGCAACGAAGCAACATGGGAGCAGCTCTCTCCAAGACCAGCCATGCAATCACAATGAGCAGACAGAACTTTGCCCGAGTTTTCACACACGACCCAAGGGGTCAGAGGCTTTTCTGACATTCTTTGAGAATGATTAACCTAAAAAATAAAACGTAGTAGTTACTATACTGTAAAGAATCAACGATCGGCGCGAGAACAGCTTGATCCATCATTTACGAGTGTAAACACTCTTTAACAAGACGTTATGAAAACTTACCTTTGCTATTAACAGGCGATTTTCGCCGAATTTCTTGCACATAACTTCCCTTACCCAGCCGTTCGCAAAGTTCTGATAGCAGTCTAAGCTTTTATAGCTCATCAATTGCTCCTGGGTGTACGGGCTAGCAGCAAACAGAAGATACATCCCCACGTTTATGTACGTTACGTCTGGCCAGCAATCGACATCGTCANAAAGAAAGGAATTGCACTCGATGTTGCCGGTGTGATTCTTGGTGTTGGTGCGGCTGTGCCGACATCTATCACTGTGAATCCTTTGCTAGCTTTGATTGCACTTGTTCCAATGACGATTGTAAAAAAGTATAAGGACTTTAAAAAATATGATTTGAAAATCGAAAAACTCAACATCGCTTTGTCTGTGAACAATTCGATATTGACGCACTTGAATCATTCGATGAGAGAGAATGGAAAGTGGAGTATGAGTGATTTGGAATGGATTGAAAAGTATGAAGCGTTGATCAATGATTTGATACCAAACTTGGCGCATGTATCATATCACAAAAAATACAGAGATTATGTTAAAAAAAGGTTCGATATGGATATGTAAGGATAAACATTTATTAGGAAAATGTTGAACTCGTGACCCACGTGTAACCGTGTGTGTAACCAAGTTTTGCATCTTATACTAAATAGTATAAGATCATCATAACAAAAAAAGATTCAGTTTACTTTTTTCACTACTCGTTTTACTCGGCGTACTGGCTTTTTATTCTGTTCAGCATCAGAATCTTCACCATCATTTTGATCGTTGTTCATAACATCGTTCATAACATCGTTCATAACATCTGCAGCTGTCACACATTCAGACTCCTGTACCTCAGATTCGGCATTTGGACGGGGCAAAAGACGTTTCATTCCCGTTTTAGCGGGTTCTACAACAGCCTCGTATAGTTTGACCTGCAGTGAAATACGAGCACCAATAAAAATGGACTCAATCTTTATCGCACATTTTGCATGGCAGTATTTTCCCATCAGCGTATGTGCTTCTATCGGTTCGTCATTTAGATAAAAAAACTGCGTGCGAAACTTGTCTGTTTTTTTTGAGTAAATCAGTTTTGCGTACAATGTTGGACCGCGACCGGGATCTTTTTGTTGAACAGTCTTTCCTGTCTTTTCATTCAGGACTTTTTGCATTTTCCAATAAAGAGGATTTAAACCACCTTTAGACTTTGTCAGATCACTGCGTTCCAGCTCAAACATGTCGATTTCTTCGCGATTTTCAACCAAGTGATCTATACAGCAATCGACAATGGTTTGGAAAGAGCTTAATCTTTCAACTGTTGCCTAGAGTGTTCAAATTCTTGAGCTCGAAAGGCCACGGATTATCTTCTAGTCCCTTAGTCATTGTCATTTCACCTCTTTTGTCGATTGTTGAAGACCAAGTCAAATACCTTAGATCATTGGGAATCGATGCTCCTCTCATTTGGGGAAAACAAAACCAAAGATCAAGAAATATTGGAAGGAAAGGGGAGGTTTGCTTCATTGTAAATGTCAGCTTAGTACAGGGTCATCTACCCACATCTAATAAACAAAAGTTTCCACGCTTAGCTTTTCTTTTTTTTTCAACATTGGTTGTATTGCATCTTTGCATACCTTGACAAATGTTCCTTTAGTAGAAACTGAGAAACAGCAACAATTTGATTTTCTTGTTTGGATACCCTGCACACGGGAGATTTTTACCGATACCTCTTTGTTGGTATCTGACACTACCAAGGATGGTGGCTTGCGCCTCATGGGCAAATTATATTATCAAATGGGATTCGAAAGTCCTCCTTTTTGTTGAAATTGGAGGCCGCTTGCTCGTCCTCTTGACTCGATGTTAGTGGAGAAAGAGGATATATCCTCTTCAGAGATGCTTCGGCAGGGATTACGGCTGAAGACTTAAGCTTACAATTACGTTTCCATGATGTTTCAATTCTATAGCGACGAGTGTCGCAAACTGCACGCGGAAGACCATCGTCTGGTAGAACCTTTTGATTGAAAACTTCTTCAAATACTTTCATAAACTCGCCATTAAAATTTCTTTTTCTTTTAATGCTGATAAAAACGGAAGAGCATACTCGACAACGATCTGAAACATTTGCAACCGGCTTATTCATTATTATCGTAAAAAAAACCCTGAACTTTACCTAAACAACTAGCCGAAGGAGATTAGATTTTGGCGCGAGCAGAAAGCTGCTAAACGCCAGTTGCTCGACATACCTGCGTAGCCCGTGGAACGAAATAGCTTCACGGGATTGGCAAAGTTTCGGTCACAGCAAATTATAGAAGAAATCTAGAAAGATTTAAGCTTACCTCTCTTCTAACGTTTAAAGCGACATGTCAATGCCTGCAACCATTATGTTTTATACGAACCTCGCAAACCTTTAAACTCGTTCTCTTGTCATACCTGCGAAAGTATTCAGTATAGTTTCCGGTAAGATTTTCGCGGACAATCTGATCGATTTCTCTTACATTGTGTGCTGAGTGAAACTTTTCACTTCGAGCAAAGCATCGTCGCACTGCCCAAACAAACATGGCGAGCAACTGAGCTTCTTGTATATATCCGTGTTAAAACACACGAAAGGACTCTAAAGCACACTTCACTCTGATTGGGCAGAAAAACACAAAGATTTTCTGGTACCAATCAGATGCCAGAACGATTGCGACCGTTTTGGAACTAGTCTTGTAAGACAAAATTCCCCAGGGGCTCTTCCGCCCTAACTTGAAATCGCCTCACAGCCCGTGGTCTCCGAGGATGACTTGCTCTTAAAGAGCTCCAGGTACAAATTCTGTAAAAATAAAAAAATTTACGCTACAAATTCTACTTACCATTCAAACATGAGCCACAATCATGGTGAAGTAAATTTTGTAAGTCCGAAACTAGAAACGGCTCACTGAACACTGAGCGCACGCCATTTAATTTTGACTGACGTAAAAATACGAGAGGGGTCTGGCAGCGAAAACGACCGTGAAATGGAAAAATTCCAGGATAAGTTTTCGAAAATTTAGGAATACGTTTTGAGTGTACCCTCTTGGATACGGTCGGACGCGTTCCATTCGACAAGCGAAAATACCGACATTTTGAACCGGTGATTTTTGTTGAATGGAAAGGGCCCCTAGTCACCTGTCCCCAAAAAAACTGGAATGTATCGAACTGAGACATTCCGAGAGCTGGTAAGCTCAAAATATTTTAGGATATGTACATCTAAACGATTCACCATGTTCATAAAATATTTTATTGGACCAATACATGACTTTTAGGGGTACTCCACTAAGGTACCCCATAGGGTACTCCATGGATTAGGGCTCCGCGTTTTGTCATCTTCCGATGAATGGCGTGACTGTCAGGACGAGAACATGTTTCCATTCGAACGGGTGGAGAATTAAAACTTATTTTCCTGAAAAAATATCTCTTGAGGACAGGACGAGCGTCTTCCATGGACATGTTTATCAAGAAATAAAGCGCAAGCTGTGGTCGGGGCGGCGTGATGATCCTGACATCCGTCAGTATCGAAGTTAATGTTGACCCTGATGTTTTCGATAGAGGACTTGGTAAGGTTGTAAAAGGAATTCAGATCAGAGGGAAGAAGGTGCATATTGTTATAGTATGGAGATGTTCTGTATTAACTGTGTACGGTGCAAAACGTGTTCTTTCATTTACAACACTGATAAAATATCGGGACCTAAACGATCCATTAAGATCACCGATCACTTCACGTGCACCTCCGCCAATGTAATCTATAACTTGCACTTATTGCAAAAAGATATACATCGGCGAAACAGGCTGAAGACTAGGTGACCGATTCCGAGAACACCTTCGAGACGTGGAAAGGAATGACAAGGACACATCGAAACCAGTCGCTAGACATTTTAATTTACCTAATTATTCTAAGCAACATATGGCAATCTGCGGTCTTTCCTTACACTTAGGTAGCACGGAAAGCCGTAAAAATCTTGAACAAAAGCTCATCTTTCAAACCGGCAGTCTAAATCCCACAGGGATCAACGAACGCTTTTCATTCCACTAATTTATTCTTGTTTTTCTCGTTGCCATGTTCCCACCAATAACGTAGCTCCATTA